ATCAGATTCTAAGATTACAAGTCAGTAACTTAAGTAACCATGTATTTAAATATAAGTTGTTAAATAAGCTAATGGTAAGAAAAATCAATCATATATATATATATATATATATATATATATATATATATATATATATATACCTTATACAAGGGTTCCAATCATTAGTTTGAATGGAACTAAAATGACAAATAAAGCAGAATTATATGAATTTATTATATTTTATCAAAATCTTTCCAGTTGATCACATTCCTATTCATGTAGAAAATTAAAATAATAAGAATATGAAAAAAAATATGGATTAAGATTTAGAAAACATAAAGTAGTAAGATGGGAATTATCAAGAATTGGGAACGTGATAAAATAGGGTGGCATAATAATTTAAAAGTTTACTTGGATTATAAGGATAGGGTAAATGAAAATTGCGCAAAAAGAAAGCAAGCACGATATCGTAGTTGAAAAGAATCAATTAACTTAATAAACACTATATAGAACAAAAATGTTAAATAGAAAATGAGTAACTCTAGCAGTTACAAACTGGTGAATATTTCTTTAGTTCGTTTCTTTTAGTCGAATCAAAGCTGAATTCTTTTCTTTATAACTTACTTTAAACGTCAACTTTATAACTATTACATATTCAATATGGGATATTATAGTACTGAGACCTATGAAATACTCATGTCTATGGTTGTTTGAAATATACTTTTCAATGAGAATACGTACATTTAAGTAAGTGTACGTAGTTGAAAGTAACAATGAAAAGAAACTTTCATTGATTTTTACCTGTTTTAGAGGGTAGTTCGTTTAGTATGAATGCTCATCTTACCACATGATATAATATCATTATTGGCGTATTTCTTCTGTTTATGTTAAATCATTACAAATAAACTATTCTTCATAACACAGCCTAGTAGAGTATCGAGGTTGTCTTTGATGTTAATGCTATTTATCTTTTTGTATGTCAATATTGTAACTATTAAGAAGTCGATAGATACTAAAAAAAGTATTTACGTATATATATATATATCATCTTGATATTTCCACAGATCGATTCCGTATTTAATAAACCTAATTGTATTGCTTTACCCTGAAAAGAAATACTACACTCCGAACTGTTATTCAAAGACAAAATATATAGAAAGGGATTTTTGTGGAGATTGTAGTAATTTCAATAGTTGAGATCATGCGTCAATTGAAACTAGATCACAATGAAAAACCTGAAATCACTGGACGGCCATTTCGTCCTATTGTTGAACTCCTCAGGAGTGAGCATCTACGACTCCGCCTTACGGGATTCGAACCCAGGTCCAAAATAAACAATCATACTCGTTTAATGTCTACAGTACTTCCCCAAATCAAGTGCGCAGATTACAAATATTTCCCTTAATTACTAACAAGCTGAGTGATCTTATTGGGATATTCAGAAAAATATCCTAAAAATTATCCTGTTAAGTCTAATGCTATCCCTGAACGTGAAATGATGCCATTTTCCTATTGGTCAATACTTATTTGACGTGTCATTTCCCCGTTGGTCAATATTTATTCAACGTGTCATTTTCGTGTTGGTCAAATCTTGCACAAATGTTATTTTCTATTTTATGGCACGATGTAGTCTGTTTGGTTGGTATATAAACAGAGTATGTTTGAAATATAATGATTCATATCGCAGAGGCTGAGACTTGTATTCTGGACTCAACTGGCTGGGCTGCACAGGGAAGCAGAGCCAATCAGAACTCTAGGCTGTTCTTACGTGTTTTACGGGTCTTTGGTCCGATCGATAACTCACTGCCCTCTAATCCGCACAGTAACAACATATAACAGATCTCATAATATTCTAACTTTGAAGAGTTAAATTTTTCAGAGAACTTTTTTGTACCACACAAAGCTTTTTAGCATTTTGTCTTATTTTGAAGATTTAATTTCATAACCAATTATTCCCCTAAACAGTATTTTTATAATCTTACACAAACATAAAAAACTAAAGGCTTATTTAACAACTAAACCATGATAACAGTATATTTACACGGCGTTTCATTATCAGTGTCTACATCTATCTTTTATATTCAGTTTCAGTAACATTGTAATTAGAATGCATTCCATATTTTGTCACTGTTATCAAATACATTAATACTAGGTGGTGATAATTAGGAAAAGCTCTATTTAACGCGTTATGTTATAAAACATTCATGTTAGGATTTGTTTTGCTTAATCCCAAATTGTAAACTAGGTGTTGTGGGTGATTATTTCTATCCAGATACTTATTTTTCCCCGTAAAACTAATAAAATAAATTTTACATCACAGAGATATATTAAGAGATTAAAAAATAATTTTAAAAATTAATATGGTCAATAATATGCCTGTTATGTGGATTGTGGGGATTTGTTCATGTTATATTCCTACGAGAATTACGAATGATAACTTTTGAGAACCATTTATGTACAAATACGATACATATACTTTTACTATATAAACTAAATTATGTATATTCATGTTCCTCTTCTTATAAGCTTTATTTTGACCCATACGATTTGCCATTCTTCAGTTATACCCATTCTATTAATTACAGTCCCTCACATCCACAGACACTTTTTGGCTAGATCTTGTACAAAGGTTATTTCCTATTTTATGGTACGATTTGGTCTGTTTGGTTTGTATATAAACACAGTATTTTTGATTTGCATAGGCTGAAATTAATGTGCTCGGAAGAAAAAAGGACCGATAAAGACTGTAGACTGCTCGTATGGGTTTATGCGTCATTGGTCCGGTCGACAAGCCACTGTTCTCTAATTGGCGGTATCATTGCGTTATATATAAATAAGACAAAAGACCACAAGTTATGACATTTCACTAAAAAATACTTTCTACACAGACTAATACTAGCTGTAAAACAATGGAAAACATTAGAAAATAAAACCTTATATATATATATATATATATATATATATATATATATATATATATATATATATATATATATATATATATATTACTTCTAGCTTCTTCTTAGAGCAATGAAAGGGATTTGAAGCATTATTGTGTCAGTTAGAGCAATCATATAACCTATCATATATACAGGCGTTTATATCGTAATCACTCTATATCAACTTCATCGACTACGAAAAAGCATTTGATAGCGTGGACAGAACAACCCTATGGAAGCTTCTTCGACACTACGGCGTGCCTCAGAAGATAGTCAATATCATACAGAATTCCTACGATGGATTAAACTGCAAAATCGTTCATGGAGGACAGCTGACAAAGTCGTTCGAAGTAAAGACCGGTGTCAGGCAAGGTTGCTTACTCTCACCCTTTCTCTTTCTCCTGGTGATCGACTGGATCATGTAGACATCAACATCTGAAGGGAAGCACGGGATACAGTGGATAGCTAGGATGCAATTAGATGATCTAGACTTTGCAGATGATCTGGCTCTTCTATCGCATACACAACAACAAATGCAGGAGAAGACAACCAGTGTAGCTGCAGCCTCAGCAGCAATAGGTCTCAATATACACAAAGGGAAAAGCAAGATTCTTTGATACAACACAGCATGCACCAATCCAATCACAATTGACGGAGAAGCTTTGGAAGATGTAAAAACCTTTACATATTTGGGCAGCATCATCGATGAACACGGTGGATCTGATGCAGATGTGAAGGCACGGATTGGCAAAGCAAGAGCAGCATATTTACAACTGAAGAATATCTGGAACTCAAAACAATTAGCAACCAACACCAAAGTCAGAATTTTCAATACGAATGTCAAGACAGTTCTACTGTATGAGGCGGAAACCTGGAAAACTACGAAATCCATCGTCCAAAAGATACAGGTGTTTATTAACAGTTGTCTACGTAAAATACTTCAGATCCGCTGGCCGGACACTATAAGCAACAACCTACTGTGGGAGAGAACAAATCAGATCCCAGTGGTAGAAGAAATCAGGAAGAAGCGCTGGAAGTGGATAGGAAACGCATTGGGGAAAGCATCCAGCTGCGTCACACAGCAAGTCCTTACTTGGAATCCTCAAGGTCGAGGGAGGAGAGGAAGACCAAAGAACACATTACGTCGAGAAATGGAGACAGACATGAGAAAAATGAACAAAAATTGGATGGAACTAGAAAAGAAGGCCCAGGACAGAGTGGGTTGGAGAATGCTGGTCGGCGGCCTTTGCTCCATTGGGAGTAACAGGCGTAAGTAAGTAAGTAAGTAAGTAATATCGAAACCACCTTAAATATATCAAGAGTAAATAGCATCGACACGAAAAAGTTAAAAAGCCAAGTTCTAAATACTAAAATCAATTTTAAACCAAGAACTGATCTTAGCTAAACTACTATTGAAACCTTGGAAGCAATAGATAGCTGTTTTATCATAGTATAACACCGTTCAGCAGTACGTTTACATGAAACTACACCAGGTATTGAGAGTTAAGTGTTCAAGTGAGAGACCCAGTGCGCCCAGTACTTCAGTAATAGTTTAGCTAAGTTCATTGTTCAAAACTGAAAAATCTACAATCGCCACAAACCGTCTGGACCAACGAAAATAATTTTATTTAAAATTAGGAGAATCATTGCACTCAGTAAGAATAAATTGTCTATGATCACTAACTAACCTGGCTGAATGCTAACTACACTTTTTAATTTCCATAACTTAATGGCGTGTTTCATATTACATAGTTTTATCTGTCAACTGATAAAAGAATTTACATTGTTGGCTATTCGTCAGAAAAGATAGAACTATTCAAAATAACAAAATTTTTCAATGAATATGTCCTATCTACTGATGTTAGAACATTGATCTGTAAAACAAAACAGGAACTTCAAAATACGATTATTCAAACAACTTTACACTTTACGTTTAACTAAATATTCAACCAAAACTAATCAGAACACCCTTTAAAGTTTACAGAAATTCATTTTATATGACCATTATGTTTGCTGATTAAAATACCTGATTAATGTTTCTTTTTTCTTATAATTTTACATGTGCATTATATTTAAACACAGGTTACGTGACAGGAACGCCAGCGTACATCAATTTCAAACTCATTTGGCCTGCAAACTCATTGATTCTAAGTAATCATGATGTTGTTGTACTGAACTCACAAACAAAAGATTACTTCAAACCAAATCAAAAAATAGAATCATTTCAGTTAACTTATCAGATAGATATTAATTCAATCAACGAGATTCCATTTGAAACATTATTTTCGTCATCGTTCCAGCCGACATTAATTTTTGATCTAATTATCCAAGAGTGTGATGCCAGTATTGGATTAAGAATATACAGTCCACTTTTCAGACGTCAAAATAAAGACAAAATGCTTCAGGGTAGTGTTGTTAAAGGATCAATGGTTAGCATACATTCAAACAAGAGCACAGTGGAAGAATCATCACACTGGGTTATGTTCAGTCCTTTATTATTTATTACGATTGGAATTAGTTTGCTTTATTTTTTAGTACTGATTATATTTGTATATATAAAACATTGTATCATATCAAACAAAGGATATCCGATTTCGGTTGAATATCAGAAACAAATTAGTAATAATCATTATGGTAATGACCTACAGTACCATCAATTACTACTTCATCCATTTCCTATCAAGCTGAATAATCGTACTTTGTATTACACAACATCAAGAAAAGGTGAAGATTACATTCAAACATTTCCTCCAACTAGACAAACCTTATATCACCCCACCGTCGTTGTGAAACATCCCTATCATCACTATGGTAACGAATCACAGAGCTCTTACCGAAAATTCTCATCGAATTCTACTTGGCTCAATCATAATACATGGAATACGAATAACTCACAAATAAAACGAATATTTTTATTTACACATCTTGCATTCCGTGTCTTTTATACCTTTCTATTTACATTCAGTGTTGCTGTCTCCTTAATATTTAGTTTACAACCTTCAGGTAGGATTTCAACATTTGATAATATTTTACAATGGCCAAAAATAAATCGAGAGTCAATAGAGTTCAATTCACTTCACAGTAGTATGCACAGGCCATCACCAATATCAGTTTTAACAACATCATCCTTGCCAATTCATGAAACAGAATTGGATCAGATTCATTTAGTTGGTCCAATTTTAAGGCTTCAAGCTGAAGTCCATTGGATAGAAGAATTTACTGAACAAGAATTAAAAAGACAACTTGACTATGTTGAACGTATGAAATTAGCTTGTCAGCACGCTATGACAGTTGAATTGACAGATGCTCTCAGAGAAGGTAGGCATTTGGTAAATACCAGGCTTGAAAAATGGCAATTTAATAGTACATCACAAAATACTGATACTTTAAACGACAACACATTACGTTCTGTCAACGAATTAGCAAATATTCATTTCAACAGACAACGTACATTATTTGATCATTTATATGAACAAATGAGTCAAAAGTTAGATTTCCGTGATTCTGAACCTTATAAGATCTATGCAAATATGCTAAATTCCGTTTTTCATTCTGGTTGGCTTCAATATGTTAAACGTATGTTGAACACTTCAGATAACTTAGAAAGAAATCCTAGACACTTTTCAAATCACAAAATACATACAGAAACGAAGCTTAACTTTCATGACAGTATGAGAAGATATTATGAATTCGGTCAACAAAGATCCGGTATCAAAGCATCATATGTAGCTTTAATGAATTATATGAATTTTTACCAAGCTGATGCTGTTCACCTGTTACCATTACAGCTGATTGAAAAGTAAGATATTCGTTTTGAGACTTAAAATAATCTTTTATTTTAAGCAATATATATAGAGCTTTTCGCTGATAATAAAAATCGTTTGCTTTAAAATCTGTTGATACTGTACAGTGATATATTTACTTTATGGAACCATATGGACAAAACGATCTCATTATTTTCAATATAGTAATTTTTATCCAGATCAGTAATTACTTACTTACATAAATACGCCTGTTATCCCTCAATGAGGAGCATAGGCTTCCAATCGCCACTTTCATCCAATTCTGTCCTGGGCAATCCTTTCCATGTCTGCTTCCAATTCCCTACATAGTGTGTTCTTTGGCTTTCCTCATTTCCGCTTTCCTTCAGGATTCCAAGTTAAGGCTTGCCTCGTGATGCAGTTTGGTGGTTTTCTTAATGTATGTCCTATCCACTTCCAGCACCATTTTTCATTTCCTCTTTAGCTGGAAGCTGGTTCTTCCTCTCTTACAGTAGGCTGTTGTTGATGGTATCCGGCGTATGGATATTGAGTATGAAAAAAAGAATTCAGCGAAGAAAACTTTCTTTTCGACGAAATCATTTACGAATATACAGGTTAAGTAAATGATTTTGTCGAAATGAAAATTTTATTCGCTGAATTCTTCTTTTTCTTATTCAATGATATTATGGGTTATTTTGATATTGAGTATCTTGAGTAGAAAACTATTCATAACTACTTGTACCTTTTTGATGATGTTTTTAGTAGTTCACCACGTTTCAGCTCCATACATTAGGACTGTCTTGACTCTCATATTGAAGATTGTGACTTTGATATTGATTTAAAGTTGTTTTGAGTTCCATATGTTCTTTAACTGTAGGAATGCGACCCTTATTTTCCAATCCTCGCCTTGACATCTGCATCAGATCAACCTTGTTCATTGATTATGCTTCCTAGATAGGTGAAAGGTTCCATATTTTCCAGAGCTTTGCCCTCAAGTGTGATTAAGATAGTGTTCTCCATGTTGTGTTTGAGGATCTTGCTTTTTGCTTGGTGTACGTTGAGGCCCACTGATGCAGAGGCTGCTGCTACACTGATTGTCTTCATCCCCATTTGTTTGTGTGTATGGGATAGAAGTGCTAGGTCATCTGTAAAATCCAAATCGTCTAGCTGATTTTGAACAGTCCATTGTATTCAGTGTTTCCCTCAGATGTTGAGGTCTTCATAATCCAGTCAACCACCAGAAGAAAGAGGAATAGTGAGAGTAAGCAGTCATATCTGACCCCGGTCCTCACTTGAAATGCATCTGTCAGCTGTCATCTATGCACCACTTTGCACTGTAGTCCGTCGTATGAATTTCGAATGATATTGACGATCTTCGCAGGTACACCATAGTGCTGAATAAGGTTCCATGAGGTCCTCATATCGACAATGTCAAACGCCTTTTCATAGTCAATGAAGTTGATGTATAGTGACGAGTTCGACTCAACTGATTGTTTAACGACGATCCATAGCGTCGTGATTTGGTCTGTGCACGACCGATCCTTACGGAATCCAGCCTGTTGATTTCGAAGTTGAACGTCTACTGAGCTTTCCATTCGGTTCAGCAACACTGTTACAAAAGTTTCTTGGTACTGACCGCAGTGCGATGCCTTTTTAGTTCTCACATTTGCTCAGATCTTTATTTGGTATCTTGATGAAATGTCCCTCTTTCCAGTCTGTCGGCACTTAACCTTTCTCTCAAATCTTCGTGAACAGAACGTGAGGCGTACTTGCAGTTACTTCTCTGTCTTACTTCAGAGCTTCAGCTGGTATATTGTCAGGTTAAGCTGCTTTCCCACACCTGATTTTTCTCATAGCCATGCTGATTTCTTCGACCGTTGATGGAGTGACATCTATCGGAAGATCTGTTTGTGGTGCTTCGATCTTGGGTGGATTCAATGGAGCTAGTCTTTTGAAGAGTTCGTCGATGTGTTTTACCCATCTGTTCATCTCTCCTTGAATCTCAGTGATCGGCTTGCCTTTTTACTTAACTTATCGTTCTGGTTTGCTATGTTTCCCTACTAGTTTCGATGTAGTTTATTCCGACTTTGGCGTTTAGATCTCTCATCAGGATGGTGAGATCTTTTCTCGGGCACTTCGCTATGATTGATTGCGGCCCCTCATAGAACTGATCTTTGTCGTCTTAGCTGTTATCATTGGTGGGTGCACAACATTGGATAACATTCGTTGTGATTCCCTCCTTCTTTGTTTTGAAGGATGCTTTGATGATTCGGGACCGGAAGATTCCCATCCAATAATTGCATTACGTGTTTCTTTGGACAACATCAGAGTCTTTAATTTAAATAAAACATTTTTCAGTGCTAGACCAGTATTAAACTTCTTTTCATCCAATAAGGAATATTGATGTTATTGGAAATTTTGAAGTAAGAGGAGATTACTTAAATGATCATGAGAGAAATTCAATTTGATTTGCTAACAGTTGATATTTGTACACTGTTACTGATTTATTTGCCAACTACTTACTAAAAATTGTCAAGTTATTCATTAAGTTAAAACTTTTAGATCTAATATCTTTCTATAACCTTTGGATGTTAGCTCTTAAAATGAGAAACAGGATAGTTAGCATTCAATCTGTACAAAATATTTCAAACTGTAATTTTACCGTGAGAAATATATTCAATTTTAAATGCTTCTTGAAAATTCATATCCTTTCAAAACAACAACTGTCTTATAACATGCAAATGAATATTTAGGCATATATATACCTTCAGAATAAAGAATCGATTATTTCTTATTTTAAACAAAAAAAAAAACAAAATCTAGTAAAGTAATATTATATGAAAAATTAGCATTATATTAAGCATGTATTCTCCTGGTAAATAAAAGAGTAAAACAAAATTGTTCCTTTTTTGTACCTATGCCTAACCAGCTCAATTAATACAAAGGAAGTATCGAAGAGTTATTCATAAAAGTTTTGAACACCTTTATTACTGAATAGACCATTATAACTACTACAATAGAGATCACCATTTTGAACAGCTTTTTAAAAATAAGTTATAGTATGTAATCTAAAACCATCTTAATTATATAATAGTTATGTTAATTAGACAAGTAATGAAACCTCGTCAGTTATTAATTTATTGGATTAATTTTGGTTAGGGATTTGAAAATTTTGTTCCAATTTAACGCGAATTGTCATCTGGTATATATATATATATATATATATATATATATATATATATATATATATATATATATATATATATATATATATTCCGATTAGGTCCTACCTTCAAAAGCTAGTTAATACCACAGAACTTCAGTTACGCTTTTATGGGTATTCTTGCAAAATTGGAAAAATTAATATTATTCTAACATTTATGAGATAATTTATTCAAAATTTGCTGAAGGAACATACATTCCCTAGTGAGAAACACTTAATCTCAGCTTACGATCTCTTGAAATGATTACAGTTTTGAATTTTAACTGATGAAAGAGTCATTAAACTTAATTAATTATTGACGGCTTTCTTGTATGTGGTGTACGTGGTCTTAAATCAGTGTTCACCAGAGTGGTAACACAAAATGTTTCTGTTATATGTTATGAACAAAGTGTCTAGTAGTTTGGAAATATCATTCGAGGAACGTATTGAGAATCTATGAATTATTTAATTTATTCTTATTATTCCACATAAAATGTTTTGTTTTGAGACATTTTGTTTTGGAACCTAATATGGTAATTATCACGCTCTCCTTGTCAGTATGAGATTGTTCTATATATTTAATTTGCTCAAAACTATTTAGCAACGACCTCGAAAATCATGATAATCAGGCGATTGATTAGTAAAAGCATCTTTTGTTTGGAAACGATGATAATTAGTATAAGTGATAGTCATTAGCAGACAGAGAACCTAATTTAAAAACGGAATTGACTAAAGAGGAATAAATTATAAGTGATGACTAAAAAGCCAGTCATCGATTATTACTAACACGACCGTGAAACTTTCAATTTCGAATTACATTCAAATCTATTTGGATTGATAGAAAGCATTACTCGTCTATACTTGGCGTCTGAATAATAAAAAGATTGCTAACAATATATTTGTAATGCTAAGATAACAAACATTCAGATTTAACTAAGTAAACCAAATTACTTTGGGCTATAATACGAAAATTCGGAAGGTTACTCTATTTTTCATTAATAGTGAAATTCTCTGAGGCTAAAAAACGAACTAGAGAGTAATTTCATCTTTGATATCCTATTATTTTTTTCTACATCAAAGCTAAATGATTCTATTTGTATTTAGGACAAATAAGACTATAAAATAACTACTAGTACATCAATGTGATTAAGAAAAAAGGAAGTGTAAATATGTGCTTAATAAATCGAGTTTAACTAATTTCTGTTTAACTATTATTCGTTCTCTCTGTACTACTACTCCTTTTTATGAAATAGTAATCATAAACATTCACAGGTGAACAGAACTGCTAATATAATTTTATCTAATTTTATAAACGTTAGATTAAACCGATTCTTGGAACGTCCTGATAAGAAATAATCCAATCAACCAACATATTGTTTAATTTTTTTGAACAATTGTGACAATGGATTAAAATGAAAACAGTCACTTTTAAATGGTTGAAAAAAAACAAAAGGATGTATCAAATCAATATTTTAAACTAGCGAATAGTCATTAAATAAGGAGTATCTGAGATTTTAGACGCAATAGATTATCGAATGCAAGATTGGGGCATTAGCTCTAGTTAGTCACGGAGTAAATATACAGTTCTTGGTGTCAAATATTTATTAATGAGCCAATTCTGTTCCTTACAAATCATCTAATCTGGAACCTAGTTCTATGGCTTTTGATGTATTGTCTTCAACCGCTTAAATTTAATAAGATGCAGTATGATATAAAGTCACATTGAGTAATCATTGCATAATAACTTGATCAAGTTCATTACACTTAAGGTTAGACGATATTAATTTATCCAAAACGAAATGATCACTTAAAATACATTTCACTGTGCAATTTATAGATATGCAGTTTATAGATGGTTATCTATTTCAGATGCAAAACATAAAATTAACTTCTGAAAATTCTATTTTTCAGAAATGGATGGTATGAGTAATCTCAGTGTTAAAATGCTAAATATACTGTACTAATATTTCATAAAAATTGAGATTATCCTAATTATCTTTCATTTTGTATTGATTTCAGTCTTAAGAAAGTATTCACTTCTCCGAACCATTATCGTTCACTGTTTCATTTATCCCCAGAAATATCTAGTCATTCCATGAATTCTGAGGCTAATTTTAAAACAAATCATCAAATAAATAGTTTTAAAACTTTACAAATTCAAAAAACACAACAAGAACGTGTATTTCTAACAACAAATGATTTGGAAGAATATACCGATGGCACAATTAGTTTAGTGAGTGATAAATTTACACAGGACATTTTCAACGAACAAAATACATTTATTTCAGAAAATTTTATTCAATATATTAAACACAATACCCAACAAAGTGTTCAAAGTCATTTGAACTATCCAAACAAACATCCAATGTTACCAGTGATGACTTTAACACATATTCGTTTAAGTTTACTAATTTTAGACTGTTTCATTATTGCTTATAGATTTTTCCATACATATGAAATCTTGAAAGCTTTTTGGACAGGTCAAACTTTGTTTGTCGATGCATCAAGTTGGTTAGAGAGACAAACACACACCACTTTAGATAATGAAAGAGACAATGGAAACTTTCATGAAGCAAACAAAACAATGAATGAACCGTTTGATAGTCATTCATGTAGAAAATATGCAGGAAAAGAAAAATGTCTGCAATCAAATTTGCCTGATTTTAATGAAACACCGAATAAACGCTTTTCAAGAACAGCATTATTTCAGTGTCTCCCACAACATCAAAATCTATATGAATGTCGACATGAAAAGCAGGTAATTGTTTTGGGATTTTTTTAAATAAATCGTTTCGATGCTCTATATGAATTCAAATCAATAATAATAAGCTCATGCTTATTAATAGTTGACCATAAGATCAAACTCTTTTTTGAATTTATTAAATATCTTTCGTCAGACATCACATACACTTTTAAAACTATAACATTTTCATGCAAATCACATTATTTATTGGATACTAACGAAATCTCGACTTGAGAAGGATCTTAGTTTGTTTTTATTTTCTTAAAAATTCGAACAGAAGTAAACAACAAAACTTACGCTCACCAGTTTATGTTTTTATATATTTGAACACGTAAATATTGGTGCAAAGGGGTACAGAATACATATGCGCCACACAAGTCACATTAGCTCCAGGATCCTAAGGGAACAAATGGTGTACGCTCACCAGACTTTGTATATAATTACAGTGTATCAGTATTATTATCTTCATCTTTAGTTTAGATTCTGATCTTAATTTTTATGCAAATTATAAAATGTTGTTAAACGTAAAAAAGAATGATAATTCAATGCAGCGTGATTAGTTGTAATCATTCTGATGAATAGAAACCAGACATCATTGATTACTTGTAAGGTTGTATTGAAAAGTTTAATTCATTGGAAATATAAATTTTTAGTAATATGCTTACAAAAACTATGAATGAAATTCATATGATAAGACTAATAAAAGAGAAGGGTGATTTTAATAAACCATCCAAGTATAGGTAACCAATAAAATAATTATTCTGATAAAAATCAACATATTTGATATCAGAATACAAGTAGAGAACTAGCTAACTTTAAATCAAACTGATCTATCAGAAAATAAATAGAAGAAATATCACCGATTATTAAATAATTAGAGAAGGGTTTTGGTGAATATTGTAGTAATTTAATAGTTGAATTCATGAATGAACTAAGGCTAGACTATCACGGAAAACGTAGAAGCGCTGGACGGCCGTTTCGTCTTAGTACGGGACTTCTTAGCAGAGCACATCTACGACCCCGCCTCTCAAAATTCGAAACCAGGACTTATCAGTCTCACGCGCGAGCATATAACCACTAGACCACTAAACTGGCCGGTATCCAACAGTGTTAATGTCTAACTTCAACTAATCCACTAAGTTGCGCCACCGTCCAACATTGTCATCAGTGAGTTACTATCTCATATTTATTAATAACAATAATAATAATGATAAATCCTATTATTATTTATAAATAACCCTCCAGAATCTTTTAACTTGTCAGATAAACAAAAACTATAAGTAAACACATTTCAATCATTAAAATATAAACAAAAAAACCGTATGACAACTTCGATATAATCTCAGTAACAGTGAATTGATAACAATATTCATTTGTTATTTTATTTATTTAGTAATAGCTAACCATATTTATTTACTAAATGTTATGTTTTTATATAGTAATATGTAAATCAAAAATAAAAAAAAACCTTGTTCAATATTTTTTTTCCGATCAAAAAAAAGAAAAATCATAATTTTTTAAACGAAATTTTCTAAAATATGTCTGATGAAAAAAAACGATTTAAAAATTTGTTTTAGTTGTTTAACTGAAAATATCTATATGATTAATAATAAATCATTATAAAATAGCTGGCAGGTTAGAATGATTGTAATCACTAGGGATTTATAGTATTATTGTATAATTTAAATTTTAAAATAAGGGAATAAATTATGGTTAATTATAACACGGCATACAGTATATAGATATTACTGATAAAATAATTCATTCAGAATACAATAACACATTTAATTAGATGAGACTTACAATATAATAGCATGAAACTGGGCATAGAATGAAATACAATTTTTTTTCTTACTTTGTCCTCATGTTTAACATGAAAGAAAAAACAATATTATTATTATTATCAGAAGGGGTTTTGTGGATACTATAGTGATTTAAAGTGTTAGGATCGTGAGTCAATTAAAGCTAGACCACCATGCAAAACCTGGAATCACTAGGTGACTGTTTCGTTTAATTGTGAGACTTCTCGGCAGTGAGCATCCACGATCTTGCCTAGCGAAATTCGAACCGAGGACATATCAGTCTCGCACACGAACGCTTAAACTTTAGACCACTAAACCGGTATCCAATTACGTTATTGTCTAACTTAAACTAATCCACGAAATTGAGCGATACATCCACCACTGTCTTCAATGAGTTACTATCTCACAATAGACCCCGTTATTTGAATAGTAAATAGTGAAAAAAAATATGTGAACTCAATTGTTTTGTTTTGTACAGTAGGAGTTTATTCTTTGTTAGTTTATAAAAGCATAAATTAACCTACCATATTTGTTTTAAATAACTTATGAACTTGCAAAATTTACAAAAGAAGACTCAGTTATTCAATAAATTCCAAGTATCACAGTTACCACAGTTTAAATAAAGATTTATATTTGCCTAAATTATGACTTATACAATCCAGCTTATCAGTTTGTCTATGTAGAAGAGATGCACTCTTTAAAATGAGGAAAGTAAAAAGGGTTTATAATAAAATTTTAATAACAAATGTAACCAATAATATACGTTTGTAATACTTTTAGTGGGGCCCTTCAATTAGAGCGAACAATGTTGTCAACGGGCTCACCACTTTGGTGGCCCGAAATCGGACTCCGAGTACATCGTATGAATAGTTGTTGAAATATATATATCGTCTATCCTCGTATATAATCATCGACTTAAATCGCGTTAGTAAATAACGGAATTAAATAAGTCGAATAGGAGAATGGATGTTTGAATACGTATGCTTCGTACATTCACTGATTTGGTCAGGAAATGAGACGGATGAAGCGAATTGATGAAAGCAAAGCGAAATGACGCGCGGTGGAGAAATCATGTGAGCCAACTCGATTTAATCAATCGTTAATCAATATTTATAGTCACACAAAAATAAACTACAGACGTGATGACTCGGATAATATATACACACATATACGTTCATATAAAAACAGTCAAGGTTCATAAGTAAATGATTAACAAACGTGACAAAAGTAGAATGAATAGATCGGTCTGTTAAGAAGCTAGAATAAGCTGTGTGAGCCTAACATATCAACGGAAACCACAAACTTCATTCCTTCAGGATTATGGTATCAAACAACAAAAATGACCGTTTTTCAATTCAAGAACATTATAGTTACACTCGATAAGTTTATAAAACATTTTCATTTTCTCTCTTTTTATTCTAATAAGCTTCAGTGAGCAAAATGGTGTTAAACCTTTAGAGAAAGTATATTATAAACTATCTAACATTAAAAATCGTTGCAGTACAATTTAAAATCATAAGTAAATACGATGCCAAAGTAAATATGTTCACTTTTAGTTATTCTGAGTTATGATACAGTTCGATCACATAGATTTTAGTCATGATACATTTGTGGTGGTCGGTGTTCGATATATTCCTTAAACTCCGTATACAGTTCGTCTCGGTAACCGTCACCAAATAATGCTCCAACGATATATTAATCAGAAGGCGAATACGAAGCGTTAATTACGTTTATTAAGGGACCACACACAGATATCCAAAATTACAGATGCGTTAAGCAAGCATTAAATAGTTGTGCCGAAAGGCAAACAGGCAAGCGAGCGATCGAGCGAGTGAATGAACGAGCGAGCGAGTCATGAATATGAATAACATGGACATATATATACATAGTGAAATTAATGAATCATCGAGTCAATTAAGCGGTTAATAGTAAAGCTAGTGGCGTGAATAAATGCGTAGGCAGTAAGGCTTGCCGAGCATACGTATTCATACAAGGATAACAATAATAAAGGTACATACATTCGCAACAGTAATAAGGATACAATAAGTTATTGTAGTGCAGGTGACTTTGTCCGTTTAATAAGTTAATAAAAGGGCTTAACCGAATTAGGTGAGAGCAAACTCAATTGAACGTGAGTTGCTATAATAGCTCCTCCCAGCAAACAAAGATACAAAAGTGTCTGTGTTTGCGAAAAAAAATGTCAAATTTAACAATATGGGAAATATCGAAATTTACGAAATTAAGATATATGATAGAACTATCGTATGTGTTATTAAAAATATGTGTAAGTTTGAGTTTGTATATGTCGTGAGGCCAAATAAGATTATAACGGAAGATCGGAAGAATACATAAAATATGTCGAATATAATAATAGATGAGCTAAAATTTTCGATTTGTACATAGAAAATGAAGATTAAATTTACATTCGAAGAGGTGAAAGAAATTATCAATTCAAAATCGTAGCTATGTATCGTTGCGGCCATCTCACCTTTCGGCCATATCTCGTCGTTACTGGATTTTCTTCGTTTGTATTGGTCGATCTCGTTGGTGATTGGAACTCGCGTTTCGGTGGTTCGACGGTTTTCGAAGTATCTGTATATACTGTCTGATCTTCGGTTTCGATGAAAGCTGGTTTGACTCTGTCGATGCTAATTACATCCGTTTTTCCAGCTTTTTCTATCTTAATAGTTTTATCGTTTCTTTTAATCCCCTTGAATGGACCATCGTAGGCCGGTTGTAAGGGACGCTGCACATTATCTCTTCTGATAAACACATGGGTACTATCGGTCAGTCGTTTTGGCATGTAGACACGATGTTGCTGTTGCCTCGGAAGCGTTATCCTCAGATCACCCATATGTTGCTTTAGACGTTGTACATAGTTGGCTATATGCAACGGGGATGCCCAGGGACTATTAGACGGTCTTACGATACCAAGCTTCATCAATTTTTCGAACTCTCGTTTCGCAATCTTCAACCTATTTGGGTCTAGCCTCTGTGGTCTTGCGTTGGTCGGTGGACCTTTCGTTATAATATGGTGCTGTACAGTGTGTTTAAGATCTCTGTTATCGTATGATGCTCTCGTCAAATCAGTGAACTCATTTAGAAGCGCTCTATATGGCTCGCTTTTGTCTTTTGAGACTACTAAATTCATGGATACGTAATCGGTTGTCACTCCTTTTATCACTACTGAATGGTCTTCGTTCACGAGCCGGTTTCGTCGGGTATCCACTAGTAAGTCGAAATTCTTTAAGAAATCAATACCAATTATAGGTACGGATACATCTGCGATGACGAATTCCCAGCGGAATGAAGTGCTACGACCAAAGTTCAAGGTTATTTTACGCTTGCCATATGTTTTTATATCGGATTTATTTGCTGCCTTAAGCGTTAGCGCTGTATTAATATTTCGCGTTTCGTTACTCACTGGAGGCACAACGCTTACTTCTGCTCCAGTGTCCACTAAGAACTGAGCACCTGTTACTCTGTCCTGAACGTAAAACAAACGACTGTTTCTAGAAGCTGTTCTAGTTGTCGCGGCGTTTACCGACAATCGGTGTGATCGTTTGAATTTACATGGTGGTCGACAGTTTCGAGCTTTGTCGCCAAAAGTTTGATGGTACCAACATATTGTAGGAGCTGAGCGTCTCCTAGAACATGATCGACTTCTATCTCTCGACCTACTTCGCGACCATTTTCTTTGTGTATCGTTCTGATTTAGTTTTGTCAGCTCGTGGCATAAGACTTCTACCTCTTTCTGTAGAGTACTAAGTCTATCATCTACCGTCACGTTGTGTAATGGAGGGCTTGTTTGTTTGGTTCTTTCGTATATTCTATCGGCTATTTTTGCTATGTTGTCTATATCGGCGTCCGTATCTCCGACGGCTAGGATCTGCTGTACACTTGACGGAAGTCGCCTAAGCCACAGTTGATAAAACAGGTTATTGTCTATTTGCCTATCGCCCAACAGGCTTTTCATATACGTTTTTAGCTGTGATGGGGTTCTATCTCCCATTCGTACTTGGTTAAGAAGTTGTTCGACAGCTTGTTGATCACTTAGAGAGAGAGTTTTAATTATTACTTGCTTTAGTACATCGTACGGCTTCTCGATGTCTGGTTTCACTAACGCCTCTCGTACGCTATCTGCTACTTCGTCTGGAAGGAGTGTGCTTGTGAGACCGAATTTATCTCATTGTAAGTGAATGCGGTTAGCCAAAAAATAATTTTCAAGTCTAATGAACCAAAGTTCAGGATCTGTGATCTTAAAAGGAGGAATAGTTACATTGATGGACCTCACGGACGAAATTTGTGGAAGGTCTATTGTGTCGTTATTTAAAGACATGATTATAAAGATCAAAAATTATACGTATATAATGTAAATGTCACGGAGAGAAGTAAATCGATAAAAACAATGATAATACAAAATGGTACAATTAATAACAAGGAACGGACTTACTAAATTGCACCAAAATATCAATTGTTTGTAAAATATCGTTGTTTATCATGAATATTATCGTTATGTTCAATAATGTTTGTGTGATAATGAACGTATAATTAAAATGGTGACATAATAAATCCACAGTAATGATTATAATCCAAATGCTAGCTCGAATTGAAATAGAGTGCGTTGGATTCTCGGAGTTGGATTACGTC